CCTTTGAACTATCCAGTGAAAACGGCCTCTCAGAAGCAAAGCTCGAGACCCAGATACATAAATACATATGTACGTATATACACGAACATATTGCAATCTAGATTAAACTATTAAGAACGGTACATATCACCTGAGCTTAAAATGAACGTTTCTACTTATTCGAAAATACTCCTCAGCATCAAATTTAAACGGTCCATTTACTTTTCAAATACAAGTTTCAAGTTTCTACCAATATTTGTTACGGTCCATCTCAGCCAAGACCTACTTAAATTTTTTTTACCACTATATTTTTGGTCGTATTATAGATGGTGCCTTTTTTTTATTTACGAAAGATACAGTTAATTTTTCAAAGACATTTCCACAGGCTAATGTGATACTTTTTACAAGACTTCTGGATTCCTCCTGCGCCGGTTTTTCAGTTTCAGTCAAGCTCTGAAGAAGCTAACATTATGATTGGCGAAACGTCAGCAATTTCGACTAAGCACAAACCAACGCAGGAGGAATCCAGAAATTTTGTAAAAAGTATGAAATATTGCAACAACAGAGTTTTATTATTATTTATTATTATTGTACTGTAATACCGTAAATACGTCGATTTTTTTCGTTTTCTTCTCTTTAATTGCTGCATAAAGTTGTGTATTTTAAAATGATACACCCTGTATAGTTTTACGTCATTGTTTTGCATCCGCAAAGAGCTTTCCGAACATATACCGGGTGTATCAAATTCGATTCTCGCCATTAGGATCTTGGTAGCGGTAAGATATACAGGGTGACTTAAATTATAGCAAAGTTGCGCATCGGTGAGTTCAATAATGTTCCTTTGTAAAATTGAAGTTATTTTTGTTACTCCGGAAATATGAAACTTCCAGTTTTCGTGTTAATTTTTTTGTCATTCGAACTTATTAGGCTTTATCTTATGGCCAAATTAAAAATCCCTTAGGACGTTTCGATTTTCTCAAACCGTCATCAACTTTATTTTTTTTTATTGTCGCCATATTGGACTATCGCAGTGCTAGGTAGCCCGTATTATTACATTTTTTTTTAATTTTTGGGGATAATTAAAAAATGCAACAATATATATTAAATTCCCCTTGTATATAAACAAAGTGATGAGAATTTTCAAATAAAATATATGTTATTGAAACGATGTAAATATAAAAAAATCTATAAGAAAATTAATATCTGCAGCACATATATGGAGTGTCGCAAATACAAAAATGATTTCGGCTTACGAGGCGTGTTCAAAAAGTAAAGTGACTTAAGTTTTATCAAAAAGTTTTTATTTATTCATCAAAATCAATGTCGACCGCATCAAAGTAATCCCCCCCCCCCCCCCCCAAATATAAGACACAGTCGCAGGGGGCCATATCCGGTGAATATGGTGGCTGAGTCATGCCTGTGATTTTGTTTATTGCCAAAAAGTTACACAGGCAACCATGAGTGACCAGGTGCATTATCGTGATGCAAAATACCTTGTTTTTCCACATTTCCGGAAGTTTTCTTCCTCACATCATTAGGATCTCGGTAACGATAAGTTATATAGTTTCAAATTTTTGAGATATTTAATATCCTTTATAATTTCAAATAATTTACTTAGTAAAACCCAGTTTGATATAAAAACGTCAAAAATCTTTTTTTTTTAAACGAACACCTACTATTTCTATATTTTTAGTGCAATTTTCTGGAAATTATTCCCTTGCAACACCCCATAACTTTTCAACCAGAAAATTCTTATCAATAATCATGTCAAAATTATACTAGGGTAAGTTACTTGTATTTGTTGCTTAGTTATAATACATCTTGCAAAAAGAAAAACATCAACATAGTAGTGAAAATTATAGAAACTTTCAAAAAAATCTCAACTGTTCGCGAGAGAAATATTTAAGGGTGATATTTTGGGATATACAACTCTACGGTTGCCATAACTTTCAATTCTGAGATAAGATAATTTTTAATTTGACTTTTTCATTACCCTGTTTCAACTATTATCAAAATTGCTGACAAAAAATCGTTGGAGAAGTCATTTTCTTTTGATAAGGATTCTGTATGGTAAAAATATATCAAAAACCGGTGATACTTAGCCCATAGAACGTTATACAGGGCGTTCAAAAAAATAGTCAAATAGTCAAAAATGTCCCGAAATGCATTGTCTCCAAGACGCAGGGCGTTAAATCTTTTTTGATATATTTTTTTTTAATTAATTCACGAATTTGTCTGAAATATGACATAGATAACTTTGACGGTCTCCATGTTTTTATATTTTTTTTGTATAATAAATACCAAGTTTTACTTTTTATTTCCTAAACGAAGGGAGGATAAAGTAATAGTTTTAGTCGCTCTATCTCAGGGAAGTATCGACATTAAGTTAAAATCAGTGGCGTACGTTTTTATCAATAAATTTTATAAAGTTGCCTCTTCTCCCTAATCCCAAATCAGTGATTGTCACTAAAAACAACGTTGCCAAATTACAAACAAATCCGTGAGAAGATATTTGGAATTATTAAAAAAAACTGCATCTTTCCTTTTTCCATAAGTCATTTAAAATATGTAAGTTTTCACTCCATTTCCGGTACAAGTCTATCTTATATTTCAATTCAAAGATCACCCCGTATATGATTTGTCTCCGCTTCCAGCCGAAATCGACCGGACCGGCCGGTACACTATTTTTTATCGCTTCATATTCGGGGGTTTGCTAGATTTTCGCGGAAAATAAAAATGGACTCGTTCGGCCCGGAAAATTGCTCTCGAACCGATTTTTAAAAGGACCGCACGGACCGCAGTTTATACGGGGCAATCTAATACCTGGAACGATCTTTTTTTTTTCAATTAACTAATGGACCGGAAATTCCAATTGCGGCCGTCGAATTCCTTTTACATCCGGACATGGTGCGAAGGTAGGAAGTGGCTTTTTTCTGTTAAACATCAAAGATGCCCAAGTTTTTTTTTCAAAATTTGATCATGCTGCTGGAGGCCGACTAAAACCATAGAAGATGAAAGCACTTTTTTTTGTTAACAAAACAAAACAGTTTTTTTTGTTTTGGTAAACATCGAAAATAAGAAAACATTGTTGGACTTGTTTCTTCAAAATTTGACAATGCAAAACACTGTAAATATTGAAAATGTCAAAAGTTTATAAAACATTTTTTAAAAATTGGACAGGGCGAATAAAAACGACAGAAAATGAAAGCATGTGATTTTTTTGTTAACCATCAAAAATGACAAAAGTTTATCATACTTTCTTATTTCAAAATTTGACGGAAATGTATATACCATGACGGAAGAGATTTAAACATGAAATATGCCTTTTTTTTCAAAATGGGCTTTATTGTAAATACCACAGAACACAAAAATGTATAGAACATTTTCTTAATATTTTACCATGTAAAACACTTTGTATAAAAGCCATAAAAGAATAGATGTTCTTTGTGTTATGTTAAATATAAAAAATTTCAAAATGTTACCAAACATTTTTATGAATATTATAACACCATAGCAGATGGAAGCATGTTTTTTGTTTTGTTTACCATCAAAAATGACATTAGATTATCATACTTGCTTTTATCAAAATTTAACCATACTGTAGATACCATAAAGGAAAAGAGTTTTTTTTTTCGTTTTAGTGAACATTTTTTTGGATTGTATTGGAAAATTTGACAGTGTAAAACATTATGTACAATGGAAGAATAGAGAAAACCCATCAGACATTTTTTACAAAATCTGACAATATTATAACTACAGGACGAATGAAAACCAAATATAAAAGCAATATAACCATTAATAATGGCAAAAGTTTATCATACTTTCGTTTTGTTTAATTTGACCGTACTGTAGATACCATTCACAAAAGAATTTTTTTTTTTTGATAGTACAGACTCAGACTTTTTTGTCAAAACTGACCTTATTGTAGATACCATAGAAAAAGAGAGCACAAAAATGTAGAACATTTTTGGAAGAACAGAAATTTTTGGTTTCATATTAAACAATAAAAATGTTTTATCAAAATTGGACAATATTGTAATTACAAGGCGAATAAAAGCCATAAAAAATGAAAGCGCGTTTTTTTGTTTTGTAAACCACCAAATATGCCAAAGTTTATCGTACTTTCTTTTTTCAAAATTGGACCAAACTGAAGATACCATGAAGAAACAGATTATATATTTTTTGTTGTTCTGGTAAACATCTAAAATTACAAAAGTTTATTGAACTTCTTTTTTCAAAATTTGAACATGTAACACACTCTGTATAAAAACGATGAAAGAAAAGAGCTTCTTTGAAGAACATTTTTTTCAAAATTGGACAATATTATAAATGCAGGTCGAATGCAGAAGATGGAAGTATTTTTTTTGTTAATCATACTCTCTTTTTGATCATTCAAGAAAAAAGCTTTTTTTTTGTTTTGGTTAGTACAGACTAAGACATCATACTTTTTTTTCAAATTTGACCTTATTGTAGATACCACAAAAGAAAAGAACACAAAAATATATAGGACTTTTTTTTCAAAATTTGACCATGTAAAACATTGTGTTTAAAACCCATGCAAGAGTAGAGATTTTTTGTGCTAGAAATGTCAATAGTTTATCAAGCATTTTTTTCAAAATAATATAAATACGCTAACGAAAACAATAGAAGATGAAAGCATGTTTTTTTTGTTGTGGGACTTGTTTTTTCAAAATTTGACAGTGTAATAGAGAAAAATTATTACGTATTTTTTTCCAAATTTGACAATGTCATAACAACGGGACGAGTAAAAACCATAGCAGATCAGATCATGTATTTTTTTGTTTTCATAACCATTCATAATGGCAAAAGTTTTTCTTTTTTTTTTAAATTGGCCTTATTATACTATAGAAGGCGAGAGCAAAAAAGCTTATCGATTTTTTTTAATTTGACTGTGTAAAACAATGTGTATTAAAATAGAGCTTTTTTTGTGTTATGTTAAACATAAAAAATTTGAAACGTTTCTAAGACATTTTTTATTCAAAAGCTATTTATTTATTATGTTATTGGGCGGCCTCGACGGCGACGGTGTCGCTGTCCGCCGAAGTCCCAACCTCCGGGCTCGGCGGCGGCGTCGTCTGAGGCGCACCAGGCGCCTGGGGGATCGTCGCCGAGGGCGCCTCGCCTGAAACACCTGCACGTCGTGCTTTGCTGTCCGAAAAGTTGATTAATCCTTACCCGGATGAGCAGCGGGCTGGGGAGCTGCAGGTATCCCCAACCCGGCCGGTAGCTGCTGAGGAACCAGCACTAGCTGTTGGTAGTAAGACGCACCAGCTATCAGCTGAGGGTAAGACAGCACCAAGGGTTCCTCCACGGTGCTGTAGAAAAACCCGGTCTTAATATCGGTAACGGGCAAGCCGGAAAGGTGACCTCCGTGGACCCATGCTAGTGCGTACGTCAGCAGGAGCGTCAGGACTCGCTGAAAACGACTTGACGTTATCGTACTTTTAAAAAAACCTTTGAAACCAAAAAAAAATAGTTATTTTTAACTGACTTATCTGAACAAAGAAAGAATAGGTGACTATTTAAATGTTTTTTAGATAACGAAGTTTGAACTCATCAGGTACTACGCCCATTATCAAATTACACAATTTTTCATAGCGGAGTTACCCCACAAAACAGAAATTTGACAACAGCAGTGTCACGGGAAACCCTAGATGTACCGTGTCGGGTATCAAACGAAAGGAAATTCGATAACGCAGGCCGTCGAGACGCACGTTTCGTCCCATATATACCGGGAAGAGCGCAAAATGCGGCCGAAACGGATTTAACCCGCCCAAAAGCACTAACTCACCGTCATAATGGTCAATTTTAGGGTACGCACGCGACAATAACCACTTATGGCGCCTACCTGGACGAAAATTGCTATTATATACGCCCGCGGTTTGATATTTATCCCCGCCGCGTATCAAACTTGATCTTATTCGGTGGGCGCCCGAAAATGTCGCTTCCTGAATCGTTTTTTTAAAGGCGACTTTAAGACGCCTACCGCGCTATTTTAATTAAAATCGTAAAATACGGGCGTCTCCCAGGGGCCTCGATTTCTCCTCTAATTTACGAGGATTTAACTCCAGCCTTCTCGATAATTAGCGAAATACTGGCGGGCACAAATATTCCTTAAAGGCGCGGCGTCTCCTTTGCGTCAACAAAATCTTCGTCCATCGATAGCGAATTATTTTTTATCTCATCAAGCCGAATAAGTTTTAAAAAAAAAACATTGTACATGTTCGTTTTCCTTTGTATTTAAATTATATTCCAGATAGTTTACGTTAAGCATTGACAGCGTCATCTGTCTGCCGGAAACCAAACTTGGAACAGTTTTCACACAGCCTTCTGCTGAGCATAGGGGGTGGTCTAACATTTTCGCAGTACGCTGTAGGGTGCCATCTATCGCCCGATGGACGTCTGACGTACTTTAAGGCAAACAAAGGGTAGCGCTCATGCGCGGTATCGCGAAATTCCAAACTCGAACGTCGACCGGTTAGACGGTGACCTCGCGCATTCGAATCAGGTTGAGATTCGCAGTTCGTCGATCTCGAATCGGTACATTATAAAAACGTTAACGATTTTCTCTCGCGGCGTCCGCTGCGGTGTAATTAACCGGGACTCGTGTGACCGGACGTGGCTCGTAAACAAAACCAGGAAGCGATGAGGCCTCCGTGTTAAGCGATGGATTTTGCGGAGACGATGAAGAACGTGCTGATCAAGGGGCTCCAGCAGAACGAGATGCCCGCGGGCTCGGGCATCGGCTTCCCCGGCTACGTCACCGAGAAGCTCTACATGCTGCTGCAGCTCTACCTGCAGAACAAGAGCTGGAACCCGTCGATGGAGCTGCTGCAGTGTTTCAACGAGCTGAAGGAGTCATCGGTGCTGCCCAGCGCCGCCTATTTGCAGTGAGTAACCTAGTGCGCCCTACATACAGTGAGTGCCAATAATAGACGGAGATTCTGTTGAAATTTGACAATGTTTTTTGGTCTCTTGAGATGCTCATTAAGTTACCTTGTTGTGGAAAAAAAATGTAAACATTTTTGTTGCTTGTCGCTGAACAAAGTTCGTTGATCAATTTTTGGCAAAAATTATCCTTGGTGCCTTGGAAAACAAATCGGTTCTTCACGGGGGTTTGACATGTCGTGGTTTTTGTGATGGAAAATTACACTTTTGAAGACATGGCAGATATGCATGTAATTTATGGTAATCATTATGCAGGAACTCCATCGGCAAGTTCCAAATAGTAAAACCTTGGAAAGCCTAGACTGTTGGTTAAGGGCAAGAGGTAAATTTCCTTGTTTGTCGTGACGTTTTTGACGATAATATTATTCTGGAAGTTTTGCCATTCCCACAAATGATTGAGGCTGGCCGAGCTCCCCAACAGTGCATGGGTCTGCATTTGGAAGGCATTAAATGTTTGACAGTGGTTGCTGTTGGCTTTCTGCATTTTAATTGTGTAGAAATAAGCAAGTACTTGGTTAGTTTTAGCTAGACTCTGTAATTCTGTTGGTGTTGCTCATATATATATTTATACTAATATTTAAAAATTCACGAAAGACAGAGTACAACGTGGCAACAATGTCCTAGTGTCAAACATTTAACCCCTTCTGGAACTGTGAATCTTACTTAATAATTTTAATCTAGTTAAGGGCTAAATTAGCTGCTTAATAACTAAATAACGTTGTGAGATTTCAACTGAATATCTTCTAAACATGTACCTTAAAAGTGTCTAGCTAATGGGTTGTTAAATATAACCCAAAAATTACAGATAATTCTCTTTTAACAATAGGGATATGGTTTTGTAAGAAATTCCCTTTTTTGAACTTCATGGTGCTATTATAAAGACTAATGGCAAGCGGGCCTTATTCCTAGTTTTGAAAGAACTCTTCGTATCTTTTGAAGTGGGTAAATCTACGCAGAACACTCCGGGAAGATTTTTGACACTTCGGTCACAAATCTTCCTAAAGCTTTTAGAAAACAAGAATCACTTAATTAAAACCGTTATGAAAACTTTTATACCTTTGAATTCAATTCAACGATGCGTTTCATTAATACAGTTGGACACGATACCTTTGAATTTATTTCAATTATTCGTTTCACGAAATTTATTGGGCACACTGCCAGGATCATTCGCTCATATGGTTGACTCTTCTTGTTGGTCACTGGCCAACCTATGTACTCTTCTCTCAAAGTGTGACGTATTTTTTTATTCGAACTATGTATGATATAATTATGAATATTTTAATATTATTATATTATATTCTAACATTATTTTCGCTCCATTCGCGACACTACTCATCACAACAGCGGCTTATCTGGTCTCTTTAAGTTGGACGTCGGTGGTGCCTGTTTTTAGGATGATGGCGTCGAGGGTAACGCTGGATTCACAAGGACGTCTGATTTTGCGTGAAAACGGCAAGATCGTGCTCCCGTTCGAGCATTTCGCGAACGCGGTCATGCTGAAGCACATGAACGGGCCGCACGGGTTACACCTGGGCGTGGAGGCGACCGTCAGGGCGGTAGTGGAGTCCTACACGATCGGCCGCGAAAATTTCGGCATGGAGAAGGAGTTTATCGTGGAGGTGGTGCAGAATTGTCCCAATCCCGCGTGCAGGTACTACAAGAATCAAATCGAGCTGACGCAGAAGACTCTGCAGCATCTCGCGCCGAGTTACATGACCGACAGGCCCCCCAGCGCTGACGTTCGCAACCGTAAGCGTTTTGGAGCTCTTTTTCTTTTGCTTTTTTTGTATTTGGTCACCATAGACAACATAACCTATGAAAGTAATGTCCCAATGTAATTTTGGCCACTCGTTTTGGCAAATTTAAAATATATAGCGATTAAGTAGTTCTGGAGAGTTTTTTAGACCGTTTAAAATTATTTGCAGAACAAGTGTACAAGTCTTAATAGTTGCTCGGAATTTTGACCCGTTTTCGACGGCAAATGTTTTCCAGCATTTTTGCACCAGTTTTGTAATGTAGGAGATCATTTTTATTGTTTTGACGTGCTCGTGGCAGTGGAAAGCCACTAGTGGTGGTGGAAAGTCGCATAAAATTCATGGGACAAATGATTTGTGACCATATCGAAATAAATTTTCCAATCACAAGACCATTAATTTGCTAAGTATAGTTACCGGGTCAAATGAAAATTCCAAATATGTACCGGAATCGTCTCAATTAACAACATAGTAAAAACGTCGATTTGGGATAATAATTATATTAATAATATATTATATTATATATATTTAAAAAATTTCCTTTAAACTTTTTCTAATTGAGTAATATATACTCCATACACCGGCTTAGATCTACCGTGGCCTCTTCGCTTCTAAACTCACTAGCAATCCGAAATATGAATCCTAACACTTTCAACACACTGTTATAAGTTTGATTGATATGGTTAGCGAACGCAAGCTTAGTGTCAACCGAAACTCCCAAATTTTTGGAGCCATCACTTCGTTTTTATTTTATATTGCCGAGAAAATAATCAAATCAAAATTTGAAGATCCCTGTGAACAGTCATCTCAATTACAGATAAATTTAAATATAACAATTTACCCGATATACCATACTTTACACTTTTTGACTTATTCGACCTTATATGAATGTATGTTTTTCCGATTCATAGTATCATTTAAAATTTTGATCTAAGGCCATTTGGAACAAATAGTATCAATATTGAGTTCTGTTTTTTTACTTGTTAAACCTTTTGGAAGGTGTTGTGCATCAGGTTTCAATTTTTGAATTTATGCCTGCACCTTTAGGACCCTGTATAGTTGTCCATTTCACAACATTACTTGAAGTTTTGGCCTAAGGCGATTTTGATCAAATGGTATCATTCACAATCTCTGCTTATTACTTATTAGACCTTTTGGAAGGTCTTGATCTTAATTCAATATTTGCCAAATTTACTGCTGGAGTCTCAGTCAGATCGTTGAACCCGCAGATTTGGCAAACCAAGTCGCCGGCCTGGATCCGAAACAACCGAATCCGCAGCTGATGGAGCGGCCGAAGTCGGTCGCCCCTCCCACCCAGCAGGAGATCGCGGCCGCCCTGATCCAACAGCAGAGCAGGGTGCTGGCTCAGCAGAACCTCGACAAGCTGAACGCGAACCTGGAGAAGCAGCGCCACCAACAGCAGTTGCAGCTGCAGCACCAGCAACACCAGCAGCCGCCTCCGCCGCCGCCGCCGCCGCAGCAGCAGCAGCAACCGCCTCCCAAGCAGCAGCACTTCGAGCTGCCGCTGATGGACCACAAGCTCACCGACTTCCTGCGAGCCAACCTGGAAAACTTCGAGGGGTTCGGGGCGGCGAACAAGGACCTGCTGGCGCTCCACAACGGCGCGTGGGCGTCCCCCAACGCGGGCGCCGCCTCCGGCGACGAGAAACGCATCACCGAAGGCGGGCAGGAGAAGATCGTCCGCGCGTTCGGCGAGGTCATGAAGAATATGCAGCGCATGAAGACGTACGTGCGACCCGCCATGTGCAAACCGTATGGCAAGCAATCGGAGGCTCTGCAGAAAAGTGAGTGTTATTGAACTACTTCCCGCGCTCCCGCCAATTCCTGTCGGTACATTTGGCCTATTTCCTAGTCCTATGTACCCAAAATCTTCTTTGGTACATTTGAACTACTTTCCGTTCCCCCATAATGATGATACGCCGAGGTGAGTCCTGGAGAGCCCCAAGCTGAGGCTTTCGGACGCTGATTCTAGAAGCTTTGATCTTATCTGACCCCCTTTCTCCTCCGCTCGAACATAACGATCCCGCTTTTGGATAAATATAGTACGACCACGATTTTTGTTATGTATGCGCAGCTCTCATGGACACGATCCAGCTGATCCAGTCGTTGCGCAGCTTCCTGCCTCCGCCCCACATCCAGGTCAGCTCGTGGAAGAACGAGGACAAGCACCGCTACGAGGAAAACTAAGACGTCGGTCACGCCCGTCCTCCCCTCTCTCTCACTCTTCTGTCTCTCTCGCTCGCTCTTCTCATCGGTCGGTCGCACTCCAGTTCCTGTTTTTTTATTTATTTAACCGTTCTGGGAAGTATTATGACGTGTGATATTTTTGTTTTTCGTGTACTTAATTCGTTTCGGCAATTTTTTTTTTCGGTTCCAAAAGTCTAGTCAGAAGGAAAATGAAACGTTTGAAATTTAGCTGTGATATTTCGAACTCCGCGACGAAAAGTGTCTCTAAAGAAAAAATAAAAAAGAAAATCTCGTTTTTCCGCTTGGGTACCGGCCTAAGGGTTGCGGTAAAAGGTGAACCGCCTTATATACTCACGCGTAGCTTTCTTCTTGCCGTAGTAACGCTTTGTTTTTAGTTTTAATGTCAACTGTGCAATGTTCAATATACTCATTTTTTTTATATACGTAAGTACGATCGTTTCGTTGGCCTGTTCCGAAGAAACAAATTAAAAAAAAAAAAACGTAGAAACAATGACCATCAAGTACTGTCATGTCCATTTCTTGTTACTTTCGAAAATCGATGAAATCGAATTTTTCGAAAGTATCGACGCTCGTATAAAAATTTTATATCTCGGTAACAGTAGGTCATATGGGATCGCCGTTGGTACAGAAATGATCACCGTAAAAAAAAAAATTCAGTTTGTCCGTTCTCCGTTCTCGTCTTTTGGTTTTTCCTGAATTACTTTCGAACCGTTGGAGCTACAAAATTAAAATTTGTCCCCACGTAAGCTTATAAGCTTATATATCAATCTTTTTTTAGCGATTTTCGACTGTTTTTTGGACATTGCTATGAAACACGAGAAGTGTCTGAAATTTGAAGCAATCAACTTCATATTTGGCACATATATGCAGCTTTTCCCCGTGACGGAACCTTTTGGTAATGGGGGGGCTGGGGAGTCGGGAAGTATTCTAAAAAAATTAAAAATCGCGTGTGCAGGGGTCTACAAAAAACATTTTTCAAAAATCATTTACGAGACCAAAAAATTCTTGAAGCAGCTATAAAAGTTTTTCAAAAATGTACCGGGTGCGTTGCAAATTCAAAAAACTGAAAAACGGGTCCCCTTATTATCGGTTATAACTGAAAGACTGTACTTCGAGTGTCAGTTTCTTTTACATGACGCTGTAGCCCACATAAACAGTTAAAACTATTGTATTTAAGGTTTTCACCTGTTGTAAAGGGTTTTCAAGATATTAATTGCTATATTCAAAATTAACAGGTATCTTAAATTTGCAGCTATCGACTTCAGATTTGGCATAAGTCCACACCCGCATTTCATCTGCTAAAAAAGGATTTACGCAAATCTCGGAAAAGTATTTTTTTAAAATTTTGGAAAACATTTTTTGATATATTTTGACTTCCAGAAAAAAATCGTTTTCTCGGAAACATTTGTTACGAACATTGTTTGAATTATATACAGGGTGTGTCGTTTATTGGTAAAAAATCTGAAAGACCCTAAAATTTTCCGTTTTTGTGGGTAGATTATATGCGATAAATGAAAAACTATTAAAGATGTGATAATTTGGTTTGAGCAGTATCGTAAACTGTGTCGAAAGAGAGTTTCAGTTGTCTATCATACAAGGTCCTCGAGATATTTGAAAAAATATAATTTTAAATGGCAATTACCAGTACAAATTTAAATATTCACCAAAGTTTGCCGTAACTTTGAAGTTCGACGACATGTGAAAGACCTTTATACAGGGTGCGTGCACAACAAAATTACATCGGTTTTGCGAAAGTTCTATAGTGGTCCCCGCGAAGCTGCTTCTTTTGGAAATAAAAAGGTGATTCGCGCTACTTGCGAGGAACTTGCGCGGCCCAGAGACGATTTTTCGAAAGCAATCGTGTTAATGTAGTGAATAAGTTACGTGTGTGTGTGTGGTAAGATAATTTTAAGGTAAGTAAATACGATAGACTTCTGCTTGAGGTTAGGTTTGAGGTTACTTGAGATTTTGAAGACGGGTAAACTTTACTTACGTGTGACGTCAGCAGTAGTTGCCTCTCACGACCTGTGACGATTTTAATTTAATTGTCACGTGCAATGCCTCCTTGTTCCTTTGAGTTTTATCGATATACATGAGGAAAACGACAAAAGGATTCCACAATTGCGATATATATAAGTATAAAACATGTTTTATACGCGTTCATAGAGTTAAAAAACACCAGGTATGTTATGCTGATTTTTTGACAACACGTCACATAACCTTAAATATTCCCTAAACAGTGAGGAAATCAAATAGGTCGGTCTGACAAAAGTTACTTTTGTTTTACCACCAAATCCAAAAACGCAACAAAATTCATGATGTTTTATTTGAAATTCCAATGTTGATCTATATAATCTAAAAATTTCCTTAAATACAAAGAACTAGCTTTGAGAAAATTAAATGGATCACGTTTGATTAATGATATCCAGGCATATTTTGGAAATATTTTTCACTTTGAATGTTAGTAGGTAGATTTACTCTTCTTTGGTGATAGCGTCAAATGCTCTAATTGTGATACTAAATTTTAAAAAAGGTCTAATGATTAAGAGGTCTTCTGCAGCAGACAGAACACAGCAGGTTAGAGTAGAATACAATTCACCTGGGCATTCTTCAGGATGCTGTCCTAGGCCCGCTACTATTATATGTATTAATTCGTTACTAGGAAATAAAATACAAGGCCTAATTATATCATACGCTGATGATACAGTTTTGGTTTTTACTGATAATACTTGACAGGAAGTTAAATCTAAAGCAGAGTGAGATACTGAAATGATAAAGGATGGGCTAGACTTTTCAATTACCAGGAACAGGGTTTTAGATTGTATTATATATTATGTTCTGTGATAATATTAGTGGCGCCATCTCAGTCGTACTGTAGCAAAAATCAATAATGGCGTGTTTGCTTGTAAAAAAAAGTTGTAAAGAAGGAAAAGATATATTTGAAGCTTTACTTTAATATTCGCCCTCTCAACCAATGATGAATCGAATTTGTAAGACCAAGCTGCCTAATTCGGCGGATCTTCTAAAACCTGAACTTTGCGAAAACGTCCACTAAAAACTAAAGTGTAGATTAAATAGAAATGAAGTCTATTTTAATAGAATCTGAACTTGACACAGGTCAGAGTATCTGTTAGTGCGCCAATGAAGTTGACAAATGCGCAAAACTGTAAGTCCAATCCCCGAACCTAGGCGCAATACTATCAAAAATGAGTTAACTAGAACTAGGTCTGGCGGTGTCGTCAAACCTGTTAAAAAATTAGATTTATAACTCTTAAGGGGAAAAATGTAATATATATTATGTTCCGTGATAATATTAGTGGCGCCATCTCAGGGTCTTACTGTAGAAAAAAATCAACAATGGCGTCGTGGCTTGTAACCAGGATTTTGTATTTTATTAATGGCTTTTAATTAAATGGAGTTTTCCCAGAGTGTGGCATTTTATTGGATTTTAAACAATAATGCAAAGATTTATGAGGTGAATAACATTAAATTCTTGGTTGTCATATTTGACAAAAATTTAATAGCTTGGTTGTTTAGGCTGAAAAACTTGTGTACAAATTTTATGAATGTAAAACTCTTAATATCTATCTATAAAGCGTTGGTTAAGTCTATTTTTAATGGGCTATAGTTTTATGGGATGGTCTGCACACTAACCCACTTGAACATCAGCGGACTTTAAACTGTGAATATGTTTCACAAGGTCAAAGTCGAACTCCAAACTGTCATTAATTCAGCAAATCAATATTAGTGTCGCCCACAAGAATGTCGACATCCCCATCCATCCTACTTACGATGTAATTTTTCAAATCATCAACAAACAAGCGAATAGAACCCTGTGGCGATCTGTACGAAGCATTAATTCCATGTTTTATTTTATTAATTTCTAAGCTTATTCTACTTGCTACAATGTTGGATGTTTCCAGCTTGTGTGTTGACTTTATAAACACAAGCACTCCATCATTTCTATTATTCTGACTAAATGATGATGTTCAACAACTCTGCTTCTTTTACACTAGCCATTTTTACAACCTTAGTCAATCTTGCTTCAACACAATTGACACACTTTTTAATCTTTGCGCGACTACCACCACAGTTTGCGCATGTTTCATATTCTTTGTGCATTGACTACTCTTATGATAACTAACTAACCAATTCGGAGAACACTCTAGAAAGATTATGGACCCTCTGTTTTCTGTCCTTTTTATATAGTTCACTTTCAGCGTATCCTCTTTATCTATAAACTTTGTCTGTTTTTTTATAGGATGTTCAATCTGATCAGCATTTAGATTTCCAGTGTAATTTAATATTTTTATCCGCGGGGGCCTTAGCTTAACTTCCTCTACTTCGCAGTTCTGAAGATTTTCCTGGACACTTTTCTTCAGCTTTTCCATGTCTTCCTTTGATCTACATCTTTCCGGATGCAGTTGTTCTAATTTTTGTTGACACCGATACTTATATCTGCTGGTTATCTCTTTAGCGGTTATGTTTGCGTGGGTAGGTTGCACCTGAGTAATTTGACTGACTTTTTCTTTAATCATCCTTAAGGAGATTAATAATTTAATCCCCACTTTGCATAAGTTGATTCTTAGCCTCAAGCAAATTATGGAGCAATTCAAATGTTTCGTGCTTTGAGCATTTTGGGCAAAAAAATTGAGGTTTTCGTTCTTTTAACTGCATAACTTTTATCTCAGAAGACGCCAATTCACCACATTCTTTACATCTGTGCGTCTCTCTCTTATTTCTATAGTTTTTAGATATTATGTTATTTTGAACCATCCATGCAGGCGGTCCGCCCGCCGGCACCCACAAAAAACTTTATTTTAATTGTTTTGAATATCACTAAACACGTAGAGACGTGGCTGTTTACAGACTTAATAGAAACTAATTTTTAACGGATTGTGACAATGACTTTTTCAAATTTCATTAAGTTCTTATCTACTTAAAACAAAAGTAACAATTTTTGAGGATTTGGGATTCTGTTTAAGGCAATCTTTTTGCAATATCAGTCTACCCCTTAGTATAAGAAACCTCTTTAATTACAAAATATTTGTAGGCCAGTTAATTATGGAAAATTCTGCAATCAAGGTAATGCTTGTTAGATTTTTGCACATAGAGATCGTTTGCGTGACTAAGCAAATAATAATAATAAGTTTTCATTTTTGGTACGGTCGCAGTGACTTTCACTTTTCGTCTGCCGCCTGGGCGACGAGTTTCGCTATCTCATAAGCCAACAACATACACCTCGAGCAAAATACAAATCAATACGGGGCGATTCTGGCAAAATTAGAGTACTATGTTTTTTGTTTGACGTTTCGGTCCAATGTGACTGTCCTCCGAATAAAATAATCTAAAAATTATATTTAACAAACAACATACAACATAGGATAAATCTTAGCTAGACAGTTAGAGTCAAAGTGGTATCTAGAATTTTGTTTTTTCCTCATTAGTTTTTGTTAATTGGAAAAGGGCTTGTTTTATAACTAACTAAAAACTAAAAAACTAACCAAAATAAAATGTATATAAAACGACTCACACACACGGAAACAGTGGTTCACAAAACAATTAACACAAGGAAGGGTAGAATTACACATTGAATTAAAATAAAGAAGAGAGTTATTCTTTTTTATTATTTAAATGCGCTGAAATATATTTACTAACATTCTTGGTGTCTGTCTTGGCATCTGTCTGTCTATGTTTCCGACAACTGTTTAGCTATCGATTTCCTGACTCTCTCTCTCTCTCTCTCTCTCTCTCTCTCTCTCTCTCTCTCTCTCTCTCTCTCTCTCTCTCTCTCTCTCTCTCTCTCTCTCTCTCTCTCTCTCGCGGTCATTAAAAACTCTAGCCAAGTGCGTAGGTATTGGTACTTACAGTTACACATCAAGTACGAACTAATAGATAAAATTACGGAATGTATAGCCAGATAAGGCTACAGAGGGAACGCGACCTTGGTTCGACGTACAGGGTGGTTCATTTAAAATGTTCCTATCCCTTATATCAATATATTTCGTTAAATACGATACGGGAAAAACAATTAAATACAAAAAGTGTTTGATCCTAAGTATATAGTAAGTACATAGTGTTTGAGAAAACTGGAAGTGATTATTATATAATGCTTTGACCTACCTATGGCCTAAATATATATATATATATATATATATATATATATATATATATATATATATATATATATATATATATATATATATATATAATAATAGTTACACCTACTAGACTTGCTATGTATTAAATAAGAAGCTATTTACCTTTTAATATTGTGGCGAGAGCCACTTCGAGCTTTTTCGGTACTTTAGTCACGGATAGGAAGCGATCGGATGTTTTCGGTGGTATTCCGACGTTTGACGAACACTTTCTACATGCTTGATCCGACCGACTATTTTAAAAGTGACCTTTAAAGAAAATTCTCTTTACCGTACAGAAAAATTACTCATTACTCATTTTATTTTTTAAGCGAATTCCGTACATAGAATTGAAAAAAATTAAGAAATGAAATTCGTTTACAAATGATTGTAGATTGAAGGCATGTTTTTATTTTGAGAGAAATCAGTGCGTACCACCAATGCTTGCGAAAATAGACAGGTGAAATTCCGTATGCCCGGCACTGATGTATTTTAAAAAAAGTCTCTCATACTAAATAATGTCTCTTGGTATATGTGTGCAAATATTCATTAAAATATCTATTACAGATATAAAAAAAATGTATTGTTTAAAACTTTACCACCCTGTATCACAAAAGTTAAGACGTAATATGAAGATTTCTTTTTAAAATGGACCTAAAAATCGCGTCCTTAATAATAAGACAACCTGTATATATGAAATGATAAAGAATTAAATCCCAAACCTAACAAGAATGCTAAATTCGAAAAATGAGTTTTTTTAATTAAATAAAAAAAATTTGATGGTTATTTGCCACCATTCTGTACAATATATTTGCGCCATAGATAGGTCAAAACCGAATAATTAGACTACTGTTTACGAAGCTTCTGGATTCCTCCTGCGTCGGTTTTTGCTGAGTCGAAATTGCTGACGTTTCGCCAGCTTCTTCAGAGCATGACTGAAACTGAACCAGAAGCTTCGTAAAAAGTATCACAGTAGCCCGTGGAAGTTTCTTTGAAAAAAAAAACGAATAATTTGAATTTTGAAAAATATTCATAGCACTCGATTTAAAAAAATACAGTTGGTTACTGGCACAACGGAACGCCTTGTATACATAAAAATGGTGGAAATAAAATATATACTTAGGGTAAAACAGTTTTTATATTTAACTTTTTTTCCTCATTGTTGTATTTATGGTATAGGACCACCGTGTACTCGCAGGATGCACATGACTTATCTATGCTTAAGAAAACGTCGGTGCTCGTAGTCCACGATTGCACTAGATATTCCATGATGGGCGCGGTCTCCTTCGGAACCATTGACGTCATTCGTCCTTCGGGTTTTGGCGGCGCGTGTCATCAACAATTTTTCCGCACGCATTATCCTTATCGTCAAATATTTTTATTATATGACCAAGCTATTTGACCCATTAAGCGATTGACCTGAATATTTTTTCTGATAGCATTATCAACAGTCGTTCGCTTTGTTTCCACGCAACAAAAGATTTTACGCTGCCGGCTTAGAACTATTTAGGAAAACTAGTATCTTATCCAAGCTAAAAATTGTATTTTGCGATGCGACTTACTACTAGACAATATATATTTGTAAACACTGAAGAGAAACGCGCGGCAGCTCATTTGCGCGGCTCCAGTGCGATTTGGAGACCGTCCTGAGACCTGAGCACCGCCTGGATGTAGTACTTCAACTCTTGCGGCTTGTCGCGCGACGTAACCGCGAATTTCCTCAGGATGGACGCCAGCATGGTCTTAGAGTTACGCAATCCGAATTTCTGACCTGGAAAACGTGGATTTCAAAAGCCGCCCGCCGGATTTCCTGATCCGAATCCGCCGGACAAACCTATACAGTTCCTGGGACCGGCACTAAACGGGATATAGGCGTAAGGATGACGTTTGGCTACTTCCTCGGGCAGGAACCGATCCGGATCGAATTTGAAAGGGTCCGGAAAGTGATCCGGGTCATGATGCAGTTGGTAGAGGTCGATGATTACGGTGGTACCCGCGGGAATGCGATGCCCGTCCAACTCGATGTCTTCCGATAGTCTTCTGGCGATTTCCGGTACGAAATAGTAGTACCGCATCGCCTCTTTCACCACTCTATCCAGATAGTCCATAGACGCGACGTCCTGAGGCGTGATGACGCGGTCCGACCCATGGAAGATGGCGTCCAGTTCTTGGTGGACTCTGGCTTGGATTTGTGGTTCGTTACCCAATGCGAATAGAGTGAAGGCTGTGGTGGTCGAGCTGCTACCGTGACCCTGCAATTTGGCGAATATTTGGACCAAGTGGCACAGTTTTCAGTTTGTTGCTCTAACCGTGAACATGAAGGTGTTTACTTCTTCGACGATCTCCTCGTCGGTGAACCGGTTTTGGTCCTGCGAGGCGAGCAGGACGTCGATGAAAGCCTGCCGTTCTTTCCTCCCGAGCTCGTCCACTCGGACGGTGCTCGTAATGTTTTCCAGTTGCGCCCTCTTCTCTTCAATGATCTAGAATACTCGGAAAATTACCTTTAACTTTTCAACATCTCGACGTTTACCTTTAAGGTCACCGAATCCACGTACTCGATGCACCCGAAAAACCTCTTTCCCGCTTCGGTCAACTTGAAAATGAAATCATTGGCCCAAATCGGGTTCGTGTACCTTCTGGAGCCGATCACGCACAAGCTACAACAAAAACGGACCTGTCACGATACGGTAGTGCAAATAATAGGGTGCCAAACCACCTGACGATGGCGTCCAGGTACTTGGAGTTCGGATCCTTCATCGCGTACACCTTCTTCCCCATCGAGGTTTCCGTGATGATGTCCAGTGCGCACTTGGTGAGGTCGAGGCAAATGTCGAAGTACCCCTTGCCTACTTTGTCCTCCAGTATGTGCACTAGGTCGTCGGCCCTTTCGGCAAAGGTTTCCGCGAACTTGTCCAAGATGCTGAAGTGGAAGGCGGGAGTGATCAGCTTCCGGTGCGTCCTCCACTTATTCCCGGTTCCTGTTAATAAGCCGGTACCCAGCCAAGGCTCGAAATAGCGATAGATCAAGCCTTTGCTGATGTTCGTGTTGCTCTTTAGTAATATCTAAAACAGATTCGGATGAAGTCTGCTCGAACTAAGCGGGTGTGTTGCAAGTTTTGTTACTTCCGCGTGTTCCGGTTTACAGATGTGTACAACTGGTTCCCCTTGGAACCAACTTCTGAATATCGGGCCGTACTTCTTGTGTCTGGAACTCATATAGTCGAAAGCATCTGCGGAGGTTGGAATAGAATAAAAGATATTGTTTATCAGTGTGCCATGTTGAATCTCACCCTCCCTGCTTATCGTCATGAACCTCAAACCGGTTCCGACGATAGGGTACCACCTTTCTCCGGGGTAGTAGTCAATGGCTTCGGCGATTTTGCGTCTGCGCCTGTACGTAGTGAAGAGACGCGGTCCAAAAAGAACCACCGTCACCACGAGTACCGCCAAAGCCGCCAGATAGTCCATGGTACTCCCGAAAACTTTCAAACCGCGATGCTAACTGGGAAGAAGTTGACAACAATTTCGGTTTTTTATATCGGCGGTGATAAAAATCGGTAAGTAATATCAATTTTATATCATGCAAAATTAACGTTTCCATTTTACTGATTGGTGGTAATATATGAAGGCAATTAAGAATATCTCGATTGCCTCGTGGGGATGAATAGCAGATTATTATCGACTGTCTCACCAAAGAGCACATACGGCAAGGATAAAATGGCCCAGCCAAAAATACAAAATTATTTGTCGCCACGTAACCGCCGACTACTTTTAATGTAGAGATAAGATAATTTCTAATTAAAAGATGAGACTTTTGTTTTTTTGGCTGACAGCCTGACTTTATTTCACGCGTTTCCTTAAACTCGACTTTTATTAAACAGAATTTATTTTGTATAACGTAGAAGGTTGCCTAAATAATCGGCAAAATAAGAAAAACCCGCAGGTGCTTCACTTGCGCAGCTCCAGCTCGATTTGAAGACCTTGCTGCGGCCGGAGTACCGTCTCGATGTAGTACTTCAAATCCTGCGGCCTGTCACGCGACTTGACCTTGAATTTTCTCAAGACGGACGCCAGCATCGTTTTAGCGTTGCGTAATCCGAATTTCTGGCCTGAAAAGATTTTTTGACTCGAACCGTCGTATTTTCCTACCCGAATCCACCGGACTAACCTACGCAATTCCTGGGACCGGCGCTGAATGGGACGTAAGAGTAGACGTGACGTTTGGCTACTTCTTCGGGGAGGAATCGGTCGGGATCGAATTTGAAAGGCTCCGGGAAGTGCTCCGGGTCGTGGTGCAGCTCGTAGAGGTCGAGGATGATGGTGGTACCCGCGGGAATGCGACGCCCATCCAAAACGAGATCTTCGGATAGACACCTGCCGATTTCCGGTACAAAATAGTAGTACCGCATTGCCTCTTTGACCACTCTATCCAGGTAGTCCATAGACGCTACGTCCTGAGGCGTGATGATGCGGTCCGACCCCTCGAAGATCGCGTCCAGTTCTTCGTGGACTTTAGCTTGGATCTCTGGTTCGTTGCCCAACGCGAACAGAGTGAAACCCGTGGTGATCGAGCTGGTATCTTGACCCTGGAATTTATGAGACGTTTGACCTACCGTCCTCTACGATTATTTGCTTCTCTTACCGCGAACATGAAGCTGTTTACTTCTTCTATGATTTCTGCATCAGTGAACCGTTTTGGGTTCTCTGTGGTGAGCAGAATATCAATGAAAGCCTGCCGTTCCTTCCTACCGAGCTCGTCCACTCTGATGGTGCTTTTGGTCTTCTTCAATTGGTCCCTTTTCTCTTCAATGATCTGAAACACTCGATAAATTATATTATCTTTCTAACAATCAACAATTACCTTAAGTGTGATGCCATCGACGTGGTCGACCGAGTCATAGAACCTCTTTCCAGGTTTGGTGAACTTGAAAAGAAAATCGTTCGCCCAAATAGGATTCGTGTACCTTCTCGCGGAAATCTCGCATAAACTGGAAGAAAACCAACACCAATACATGCAACTCTCCAGATATTAATGCTGTGACCCACCTGACGATGGCATCCAGATACTTTGATTTCGGATCCTTCATCGCGTTTACCTTCCTACCCATGGAGGTCTCCGCGATAATATCCAACGCACACTTGGTGACGTAGGGGTTAATGTCGAAATACCCCTTGCCGACCTTGTCCTCCAGGATGTGCACCAAGTCGTCCGCGCGTTCGGCGAAGGTTTCGGCGAACTTGTCCAAGATGCTGAAGTGGAAAGCGGGCGTGATAAGCTTCCGGTGCGTCCTCCACTTGTTCCCTCCTCCGGTCAATAAGCCCGTGCCCAGCCATGGCTCGTAAAAGCGGTAGATCATGCCTTTGTCTATATTTACATTGCTTTTGAGGAACAACTGAAAGGAATTGTGAATAAACTCTGTTCGAGCTAACTCGATAGGTGTCTTACTTCTGCGTGATCCGCCTTGCAGATGTGTATAATAGGTTCCCCTTGGAACCAACTTCTGAATACCGGGCCGTACGTCTTGTGTCTGGATCTCATGTAGTCGAAAGCATCTGGAAATCGAATCGCGGGAATTTTTATTAGGATATTTAATCAAAAGCAGTTGGTACCCTTACCTTCCCTGCTCGTCGTTATAAACTTCAGACCGGTTCCGATGATCGGGTACCACTTTTCTCCGGGGTAGTAATCTACAATTTCTACGAGTTTGCGTTTTCGCCTGTAAGCGGCGAGAAAACGCGGACCGAAGAATACCACGGTCACCACGAGCACCGCCAACGCCACCAGATAAGACATGGTACTTCCAAGACGGTTAAACCGCTACACTAATTGAGCAAAACGTTTTATTTTAGCTTTTTACTAAAAGTGTCTTATCGGTTTACTCAACTGAAGCCATTTGATAAGATTCGCAATTATTTATATATGATTCAACATTTTTGTTTTGCTGAGGGAAATCGGTATAGTCACCGTGACTAGGGGCAATTTTGTTGAAGGAGATCGGTGACATTTGCGTTCGTTGACACATGGGAAAGATAAATACTGAGAAGTTTATAAACATCTTCTTCTACAACAAAATACACCGTGAGCAAAGTACATCCGACGCTATCAGAAGAAGTTCGAAAACTCTAATTTTTCAATTTTTACAAAGTACCATAGGAAATGTGAAATAACGGCAGTATTTAATTCGGTTAAACATTGATTATATTGTCGTTTTTGACTTTCAATTTTTTCCTTAATCTTCCGAAGGGTCAAAAATTTACGGGCTTTCATTAAAAGCAACTAATAAACAAGAACGATTTATTTTGGAATATTAATACTAAATATATCATCTATGTACAGTCTGCCTAAATAATCGGCATATTAAGAGAAGCGGGTGGGGCTTCATTTGCGCAGTTCCAACTGGATTTGAAGACCTTGCTGCGGCCTGAGCACCGCCTCGATGTAGTACTTCAAATCCTGCGGCCTGTCACGTGACTTGACCTTGAATTTCCTCAAGATGGACGCCAGCATCGTTTTAGCGTTACGTAATCCGAATTTCTGGCCTGAAAAGACGATTTTTTACACAGACCGTCGTATTTTTCGTCCCAAATCCACCGGACTAACCTACGCAATTCCTGGGACCGGCGCTAAACGGGACGTAAGCGTAGACGTGGCGCTTCGCTACTTCTTCGGGGAGGAATCTATCCGGGTCGAATTTGAAAGGCTCCGGATAGTACTCTGGGTCGTGGTGCAATTCGTAAAGGTCAAGGATGACTGTGGTATCTGCTGGAATGCGGTGCCCATCCAAAACCAACTCTTCTGATAGACACCTGCCGATTTCCGGTACAAAATAGTAGTACCGCATCGTCTCTTTCACCACTCTATCCAGGTAGTCGAGAGAGGCGATGTCCTGGGGTGTGATTATGCGGTCCGACCCCTCGAAGATCGCGTCCAGTTCTTCGTGGACTTTAGCTTGGATCTCTGGTGTGTTGCCCAACGCGAACAAAGTGAAACCTGTGGTGATGGAGCTGGTATCCTGTCCCTATAGTTTACGGAAAATTTGACCTACCGTCTTCGCTCATGATTTGTTTCCCTTACCGCGAACATGAATGTGTTTACTTCTTCGATGATCTCCGCGTCGGTGAACCGTTTCTCGCCCTCCGTATTAAGCAGGATGTCGATGAAAGCTTGTCTTTCCTTCCTGCCTAGTTCGTCCACTCTGATGGTGCTCTTAGTCTTCGCCAATTGTTCCCTCTTCTCCGCAATGATCTGAAACACTCGATTAATTACATTTTCTCTCTAATAGTTAACGTTTACCTTCAGCGTAATCCCATTGACGTGATCAATCGAGTCAAAGAACCTTTTTCCAGCTTTGGTGAACTTGAAGAGAAAATCGTTGGCCCAGACGGGGTTGGTGTACCTTCTCGCGGAAATCTCACATAAACTAAAAGAAAGTCGACATGAGCACATGCAGCAGTGAAAACATTAACGCGCCGACTCACCTCACGATGGCGTCCACGTACTTTGACTTCGGATCTTTCAGCGCGTACACCTTCTTACCCATGGAGGTCTCCGCGATGATGTCCAGCGCGCACTTGGTGACGTAGGGATTAATGTCGAAGTACCCCTTGCCTACCTTGTCCTCCAGTATGTGCACCAAGTCGTCGGCCCTTTCGGCAAAGATTTCCGCGAACTTGTCCAAGATGCTGAAGTGGAAAGCGGGAGTGATCAGCTTCCGGTGCGTCCTCCACTTGTTTCCTCCTCCGGTCAATAACCCCGTGCCTAGCCAAGGCTCGAAATAGCGATAGATCATGCCTTTGTTGATATTGACGTTGCTTTTGAGGAACAACTACAAGGGATTTCTAATAAACTTGACTCAAGCTAACTCGATGGGTGTCTTACTTCCGCGTGTTCCGCTTTGCAGATGTGTATAATAGGTTCCCCTTGGAACCAACTTCGGAATACCGGACCGTACGTCTTGTGTCTGGATCTCATATAGTCGAAAGCATCTAGAAAATGAACGACTGTGTGAGAATGTTGTTATTGACAGTTAGTAAATAACAGTGGTTTCTTACCTTCTCTGCTCGTCGTTATGAACTTCAGACCGGTACCTATTATCGGATACCATTTTTCTCCGGGGTAGTAGTCGATGGCTTCAGCGATTTCCCGTTTACGCCTGTAGGCTTGTAGAAAACGTGGAACGAAGAGCGCCACCGTCACCACGAATACAGCCAATGCCACCAGAAAAGACATGGTACTGCCGCGATTATTAAAACTTGACACCAATTGGGTGAAACTTTTTATTACCGCTCGTTATCAAACACGCGCAGTCCGTTTGGTCAAATGAAGCCTTCGGACAATAATCTCCATTATTTATATCGACGATAATAACATCCGTGGCCTCTTTGGGCGACGCATGGAGGGAGATCTCCGTAATCACCATGACTAAGGACATATCTTTATAGACGTAAACAATAATTTGACGTTGCGATTTCGTCTATCGCCGTGAGCGTGTCTATAATTAAGGACGCCGATGCGTTCGTTGCTACTGGAGAGATAAACGCACTAGCAAATTTAATATCGGGTACCGCGCGAACAAGATACACCGTGAGCAACCTAAGGAGAGATTTGCATTTTTTGAGAATAAGAAAGTATCCTAGTTTAATTAATAATGCAATGCCAAAAAGACCGGTACATTAATAATTATGTCAAAAACATAAAAAAAACTTTACATTTTTTGTGGTTAACAATCTATACTTTAATTGAAAATACAAAACCAAAAAGGCGAAGAAAAACTTTGCATATTTTGAGGTTAACAAACTGTTCCACTTCAATTGATAATCAAATTACAAAAACACAACGGAAACCGTTGCATTTTTTGAGGTTAAAGTATTTGGATTTAATTGATGATATTCTACTATGGTACTAAGCTGATATTCTATTTTGATGTTAACAAAATGCTTCACTGTGATTGGTAATAAAATGCCAAACACACAACGGAAAACGTTGATTTTTTTTTAAGCTAAAGTATTCTGATTTAAATGATAATAAAATTCTAAAACGGCAAGGAAAAAGTTTGCATTTTTTGAGGTTAACAAACGATTTCACTTTAATTGATAAGACGAAGTCAAAGAGAGAAAAAAAAGTTTGTGTTTTTGCTGGTTCCCAAAATATCTCCACTTTCTTTGATAATAAAATTAATAAATTAATAAATTAATAATAAAATGCCAAAAACGAACCAAAACTAGCCAAAAAAACAAAACAAAACTTTTTTGACATACTGCTCGGTATATTTAAACGAGGAATAGGCACCTATTCGTCTATCTGCACTATAAGCTGAAGCATAGTTTTCCAAAAAAAAATAAAACAATCGTCGGAGCAGTCCGGTGGAACATAAACCAAATCAAACGAAAATAATTTATTTTGGAACAGTAGTTAAACTTAACAACAATAAATAATCGGCCATGCTAAGAGAAACGCGACGGGCTTCATTTTCGCAGCTCCAATGCCACATAAAGTCCGCCCTGCGGTCTGAGCAATCCTTCGATGTAGAACCTCAAATCCTGCGGCTTGTCGCGCGATTTGACCTTGAATTTCCTCAAGACGGACGCTATCATCGTTTTCGCGTTACGCAGTCCGAATTTTTGGCCTGAAAAAGAGAGTTTTTTTTAGAATCGACCTCCAAATTTCCCGATCCGAATACTACAGACTAACCCACGCAATTTCTGGGACCCGCGCTGAAAGGGACGTAAGCGTAGACATGACGTTTGGCTACCTCTTCGGGGAGGAATCGATCTGGGTCGAATTTGTAAGGGTCCGGGTAATGCTCCGGGTTGTGGTGCAGTTCGTAAAGGTCGAGGATGACGGTGGTACACACGGGAATGTGATGCCCGTCCAAAACGAGTTCTTCGGTTAGACACCTGCCGATTTCCGGTACGAAATAGTAGTACCGCATCGCTTCCTTCACCACTCTATCCAGGTAGTCGAGAGAGGCGATGTCCTGGGGTGTGATTATGCGATCTGATCCTTGGAAGACCGAGTCCAGTTCTTCGTGCACTTTGGCTTGGATCTCTGGTTCGTTGCCCAACGCGAACAGAGTGAAACCCGTGGTGATCGAGCTGGTATCTTGGCCCTAGAATTTGCTGGTCATTTGACCTACCGTACTCACTTAATATTCGTTTTCCTTACCGCAAACATGAACGTGTTGACTTGTTCAATGATCTCCTCGTCGGTGAACGGCTTTGGTTCCTGCGTAGTGAGCAGGATATCGATGAAGGCTAGCCGTTCCTTCCTGCCTAGCTCGTCCACTCTGATAGTGCTTTTAGTCTTCTCTAATTGTGCCCTCTTCTCTTCAATGATCTGCAACACTCAGTGAATTTGATGGTCCTTCTGGAACTTGAAGCTTACCTTAAGGGTATTTCCATTCACGTATTCGATGTCGTCGAAGAACCTTTTTCCCGGTTTGGTGAACTTGAAAAGAAAATCGTTGGCCCAAATGGGGTTCGTGTACCTTCTGGTGGAGATCTCGCATAAACTAGAATGAAACCGATAGAAGCACATTCCACAGTCAATACATCAACGCTCCGACTCACCTTACAATGGCGTCCACGTACTTGGATTTGGGGTCTTTCAGCGCATATACCCTCTTTCCCATCGATGTCTCCGCGATGATGTCCAGTGCGCACTTGGTGACGTAGGCATCAATGTCGAAGTACCCCTTGCTTACCTTGTCTTCCAGAATGTGCACCATGTCGTCGGCGCGTTCGGCGAAAGTTTCGGCGAACTTGTCCAAGATGCTGAAGTGGAAAGCGGGAGTGATCAGCTTCCGGTGCACCCTCCACTTGTTTCCTCCTCCGGTCAATAGACCCGTGCCTAGCCAAGGTTCCATATAGCGGTAAATCATGCCTTTGTCGATGTTCACGTTATTTTTCAAGAATATCTAAAAGGTATTCGGAATAAAATAAGCTCGAAATTGATCAGGGTCTTACTTCGGCGTGTTCGGCCGTGGAGATGTGTACGATGGGTTCCCCTTGGAACCCATCGTACACATACCGGACCGAAGGTCTTATGTCTGGAAGTCATGTAATCGAAAGCATCTAGAAATGAGACGACTTTTATTGTCTCGTTTGACATTTGGTAGTATATCATATATATATATATATATATATATATATATATATATATATATATATATATATATATATATATATATATATATATATATATATATATATATATATATATATATATATATATATATATATATATATATATATATATATATATATATAAAAAATTATGCCGCCGTGTAAAAGGCTTTAAGTGCAACAAATTTTATACTTGAAATCAAATAGATAGACAAAAGAAAAAAATATGACTTTCATAAAATAGAACATTCAATTTCTGTGTAGAAATAATAATACTGATACACGAAAAATATGATTAATGATTAATTATATCACCCACTTGGCCTCGTCCTTAAAAATGTTAAGTAATCTTGTTTCATTCTCACAGCGTTGCCGCAGTTTACGTCTCTTGCATTTTGCGCAATAAGTTACTAACGGTAACAACGTTATTTCACTTAAGTATATTTTGTAGCTTACCAAAGCACTTGAGGTATCACTGTCCAAACGTAAATCACTCGAATTAAATTTAAAAATAAAGAATAAATTCCCAGCACAAATTTTTCTATTACTTATTACTAATTTTTTCTTATTGAATTTGTTTGACGATAATAACTTTTATTTCTTATTATACTGGTTATTTTTTTAATGAAGCCATGTAAAACAGTCTCCATTTTTTTGGGTGTTTGTTTGTCGCCAAAAGGATGTCTGAAAAATATCTCAGCAAACCTTTTTTGGTTAGTTTTCCACGTTTACAGTTTTGACGAATATTTAATATTACCAATTTGGTTTCTTTAGATACACATTGTGAAATCAATGTTAAAGAATTTTTTCGCTATTACGAAAAGAAAGTTAAAAGTAAGAAAATTAAGTTAAACTTTTGATTTTTAAACGATCGTAGAAACATCTCTTTTTTTTTCATTTGCCATTGTATTAATGGGAGTAAAATGATACAATTTTTTTTTTAATGTTTTAATGCTCATGCAAATAGTGTTTTTTGCTTTCATCTTGATCGATCTAATCTTCCTTCTTTGTTGTGAAACTGTTAAATTATTTCAGTTGTAAGAAAATAGCAACATATGCACGAAGCACATTTGCTATACTCACCATTATTGCATCCAGTTCAAATAACGAAAATATATATTGGTGGCAGAGAAAAGTTCAATTTGCTACGCTCATCTAATCGTTCCTGATCAGAAATAATTGAACTATAGGTGGCAGGGGTAATCCTGGTTTATAATTCTTAGAGCGTCAGTAGAGACAATGAATTTTAGAGTCATGAGGGGTGACAGACTTTTTCACGGATTCCCATAGAGAAGAAGTCTTAATAACAGATTTAAGGTACGTTCTATAGATGACGCAGGATCTTTTTTAAGTTGATCGTGGGATCCGTTTATAAGAATATCCCTATATTCATGTGTGTTCATGACTACCGCAGCATTTCCTTTGTGGATCAGCTAAAACCTCTGCCGCTTCTCTAATTTGAATTTTTGATGCAGATTTTATTCATAGTGTGGAAAATCTCGGCATGATTTTTGGGCAACAAATAGAATGTTAGGTTTACCAAATGAGTTTGGTATGTAGTGTTTTGTTAATATCTCTTTACCTTTTCTGCTAGTCGTCATGAACTTCAAACCGGTACCTATTATCGGATACCATTTTTCACCGGGATAGTAGTCGATGGCTTCGGCGATTTTGCGCTTGTGCCTGTAAGCTTCGAGAAAACGTGGAGCGAAGAGCACCATCGTCACCACGAGTACTACCAACGCAACCAGAAAAGACATGGTACTGCCGAGACGATTAACAACGCGAGACCAAGTGAGCCAATTAAGCTAGTCGGATCGTGTTGTTCAACTGAAGCCTTCGGATAACAATCCCAAGTATTTATATCCTCGGATGCAACAACCACGCTCCCTCTGGCGACAAGTTTTCATTATGATGAAGCAAGCAACAATTACACGTTCAGATTTTGATGATATTGGCATGCCCACCAAGGACAAGCATCGGCGTTGTTAATCGCGAGAAGATCGAAATTCGGCTGGTTAATCGCGGCTCATTCGTTTGGATTTTATTACACGAACCGACTTACCTGTCGGAAAGTCGATTGTAATTTTGCGAGTTTTTTTATTTGCGTAGTATGACTTGTCGTGCCTGCCGAAGAACGTTTCTCGGGTTGGGTTGAATGCAGATAAATCTATCAATTCTTTAATATTTTGCTGCGCTTTTCTTCCCCAAGCGTTCCTCGGCCATTTGTAGAGGTTAAGTACCGGCGAATATATTAATGGCCACGAAGCGGGTCAACAAGATACACCGTGAGCAAATTACAACTGAATGCAAGTATCGAATTTTTCTTTTTGAGACGGAAAAACCCACAGTTTCCTTCTGAAGATTTTTAAAGAATACGTTTGTCCACGGTAGTCCATTTAATATGCTCCTATACTTTATCTCAATATGTACGATAGTGATGAAAAAAATTAAATAGGGAAAGTGTTTGATCCTAAGTGTATATGATGATTATGTTAAGTACAATTCGGTTTTGACAATGGCATGATTAGCAGTATATATAATAAAAATATATCCGGTAGATCGCAATTTTAGTTCTACTAATACTGCGGAAGTGATGGCAAGTTTTGATTATTTTACAACTTTTTTTGTGATATATGTACCTCCTCCAAAAGTTATGTATTTTGCAAGCAATAAAATGTTGAACTTAGTCCTGCATAGCACTATCAACAACAACAATAAAGGTCTTTATTTGAATTATATACAATATAACAATAACAAGATAACATTTTGGCAACAAGGCGAGATTCAGTCTATTAAAGATTAGTATACTGTTCTATCTAACCCAATAAAAGAGAGAAAAAAAACTAAGTGAATTTCTATTTTATAAGTTGTAAGTTAAACAAACAAAAGATATTGGTGTTCCCGCAAAACTCAAACACAGTAAAAATAACGAAAGCAATATTTCATTGCATGTAGCGCACAAAGAAATTTCCGCAATTTGCTCATCCAGTAGCCTCTGAAAAGGGTTAGTATTGAAGCGTTTTAGGTTGCTTAAATTTTTGATTTTATTTGGCAAGTTATTTGAACATGATTATATGATTACTGCGGATTTGCTAGCATTTAATTGTAAAGAATGCTTAGTGCACATCTCATAAACTATGTTCAAGTCATAGTTTAGGGCTGCAACGGCTTGCTTAGCTTCACCATGAAAAAAACAGAGGTAAATTTGTGTATCGTCCGCATAATAATGATGACAACTTGACAACAGACATTTTGTACAACGAGGGCTATATACAACAAAGAAAAAATAAATCCCTGAGGTATACCTTTATTAACATTTAAGAATGAAGAAATTACACCATGTTACCGCTTAAGATTAATTGCGTTTTCTGACAAACCAATAAAATTTCACACTGAAATAAAAATTTGATGATTAAGGGTATCAAACGCTTTCGAATAGTCTGAAAGGGTTAGTAGTGTCAGCTTGCCTTCATCTGTAGCCCTAAATATATCATCGGTTATATGTAGTAGAATTGTAGTCCAGCTTTATATCCTGATTGAGTAACGGGGGTAATGATTACCTAAGTGAAACTGCATCTGCTCAAATATAACCTTTTCTAAGATTTTTGAAAAGGTTGGTAAAATACTGATAGGGCGAATATTATCTAAGGTTGTTGGATTTGCAATTTTCGGTAACGGTAGGACGAGTGCCTTTTTCCACTGATTCGGGAAAATTGAATATTTTAAGCAATAGTTTATAACATGCCTGATATGAGGCAAAATATGGGGAATACATAAATTGTTTGTAAAAATATCAATACCATCGCAACCTACTGCCTTAGTCTTAACAGTCTTAATTATTCGCAATACATCAGTTTCAGTCACAGGGGTAAAAGAAAAACACACAGTCCAGTCTTGGTTTTTTAGTTCACACAGAAAATCATCCCGCCCTACCTGTGAGAAAACACGTTTATACACAGAGAGCTCAGGAGTTTTTGACTGTGTTTCAAAAATATTTTTTTGTGCCGCGTGATCAGCAATGTAAAGTTCTAATACAATTGTTTTAACCGAATCTGAGTTAGTAAAGATATTGTCAATACAACTTCCTGAAGTAGAAGTTAGTCGGGTATTTTGAAACACAGTCCGAGATTTCTGGGACCTGCGCTGAATGGGACGTAAGAGTAGACGTGACGTTTGCCTACTTCTTCGGGGAGGAATCTATCGGGATCGAATTTGAAAGGCTCCGGAAAGTGCTTCGGGTTATGGTGCAGTTCGTAAAGGTCTAGGATGACGGTGGTACCCGCGGGAATGTGACGCCCATCCAAAACGAAATCTTCGGATAGGCACAAAATAGTAGTATCGCATCGCCTCTTTGACCACTCTATCCAGGTAGTCCATAGACGCGACGTCCTGAGGCGTGATGACGCTGCCCGAACTCTCGAAGATCGCGTCCAGTTCTTCGTGGACTTTAGTTTGGATCGCAGGTTCGTTGCCCAAAGCGAACAGAGTGAAACCCGTGGTGATCGAGCTGGTATCTTGGCCCTGGAATTTGTGAGACGTTTGGCCTACCGTCTTCTGCGATGATTTATTTCTCTTACGGCGAACATGAAGCTGTTTACTTCTTCTATGATTTCTGCATCAGTGAACCGTTCTGGGTTCTCTGTGAACATCGATGAAAGCCTGCCGTTCCTTCCTACCGAGCTCGTCCACTCTGATGGTGCTTTTGGTCTTCTTCGGTTGGTCTCTTTTCTCTTCAATGATCTGAAACAGTCGATAAATTATATTATCTTCCTAACATTCAATATTTACCTTAAGCGTAATCCCATTCACGTAGTCTCGGGTCTCGAAGAACCTTTTACCAGGTTCGGTGAACTTGAAAAGAAAATCGTTGGCCCAAATGGGGTTCGTGTACTTTCTGGTGGAGATCTCGCATAAACTAGAATGAAACCGACACCAGCCCATGCCACAGTCAACACATCAACGCTTCAACTCACCGCCCAATGGCGTCCACCTTTTCTTTCCCATCGATGTCTCTGCGATGATGTCCAGTGCGCACTTATCGATGTTCACGTTATGTTTCAAGAATATCTAAAAGGTATTCGGCATAAAATAAGCTCGAAGTCGATCAGTGTCTTACTTCGGTGAAGATGTGCACGATGGGTTCCCCTTGGAACCAAATAGTGAATCCCGGATTGAAGGTATTATACCTGGAAGTCATGTAATCGAAAGCAAAGAGAGACGACTTTTTTACCAATAATATTAATATCTCCAGTTTTTTTGCCTTTTTTTAGACTTGACCAATCTAGTGGAAAACCGATTTCAGGAAACTAGTGACATCATATGCGATATTTTATTCCGGTAAGCTCTGAAGAAGCGAACTGAATGATTCAAGTTGGATTTATCAACAGCCGACCTAGTTTTTTTGTCCATAACTGGGAAGTTCTGTATATTTTTTGAGTAAACTATATTTTTGGGTTATTTCCACGAATCTTCCGGTTGAAGAATTTTTCAGATCGGCAATAGTGTTTTCGAGAAAATAATTTTTCTTCGGTCCCGAAAATTCAAATGCAATTATGGGATCGTCAGTATAGAACACTTAGTATTTAACATTTAACGTGCAAAATGTTACACAGGCACACACATAAAACAGTAATTAAATAATTAAAAAACTAATTGAGAAATGAATATCCTGAAGTAGATGGTTTTTATTTAGAATTTTATTAAGTGTTCGAAGTGTTTTCGGAGCGCGAGCATTGAAGATGCCAACTGAGATCTTGGCGAAACGTCTGCACGATTCCAGTCGAATGGATGATATCCCGGAACATATTATCAGCATATATACTTGAAATCAAATAGATAGATGAATAGATAGAAAAAATATGACTTTCATAAAATCTTTAGAACCTTCATTTTCTGTGTAGAAATAATAATAATGATACACGAAAAATATAATTAATGATTATTTTAGCACCCACTTGACCGCGTCATTAAAAATATTAAGTATTGTGTGGCATTCTCACAACGTTGCCACTGTTTATGTCTCTTGCATTTTGCGCAATAAATTAGAAAAGGTACAACATTATTTCGCTTAAGTATATTTTGCAGCTTATCAAAGCATGTGTCCAAATGTAAATCACTCCCGTCTGCAAAATAACTAATTACACACCGATGTAGCGTGCGGGGAGCGTCACTTTACCACGTCAGTTACATTTCTCACGGATCCGAGCCATTTCGGACATTTCCGCGATTTTACCGCACGGGTTTGGGAGCAATCGGATGTTTTCGGAGATATTTTCTACGCTTTGAATTTTGACGTTTGTCAATTCTGACGGTCATGTCGGTGAATGTATCAATTAATATCGAGTAACGCCCCAAGATCCCTTATTACGGAGGCCTGCAATAACGATGCTGTTCCGGTTGAAGAAAATCGCACCATAGGGATAGGTGATCCGAATCTTATTGGAGTTTAATACAGTCATCAGCATTTTGGACTCTCAGCAGACACATTGAAGAGAGGGGTCCCAGGTGTGATCCTTGCGGAACACCAGAAGGCACTTTAATTTCGGCAGAATTCGGAAGGAAACTTAGAATAGGGCACTAGGTAGGTTTAGTTACATTAAAAATAAAATACCAAAAAAAAATTTTAAACTTGATAAAATGTAAAGATGTAAGAAAAATGTAAGATAATTTTTTAAAAAAGAAATAATTAAATTGATAATCTTTTGCGAGGCTTATATTCAGGTGTTCAGTCACGAATAAAAACAATTAAGTCTGCTCGACATGATGCATGCTACGCAAGAGAAAAAGGAACGGAGAAACGAAACCGATATATTACATATGTATGTACAATGCTGCCTAAATAATCGGCATACTAAGATAAGCGCGTGGAGCTTCAATTGCGCAGCTCCAACTCGATGTGAAGACCTTGCTGCGGCCTGAGCACCGCCTCGATGTAGTACTTTAAATCCTGCGGCTTGTCGCGCGACTTGACCTTGAATTTCCTCAAGATGGACGCCAGCATCGTTTTAGCGTTACGCAGTCCGAATTTCTGGCCTGAAAAGGCGATTTTTAGAAACCGACCGTCGTATTTCCCGACCCGAATCCCCTGGACTAACCTACGCAATTCCTGGGACCAGCGCTAAACGGGACGTAAGCGTAGACGTGGCGCTTAGCTACTTCTTCGGGGAGGAATCTATCCGGGTCGAATTTGAAAGGCTCCGGAAAGTGCTCCGGGTCATGGTGTAACTCGTAGAGGTCTAGGATGACTGTGGTACCCGCGGGAATGCGATGTCCGTCCAACACCAGTTCTTCCAACAGACGTCTTCCGATTTCCGGTACAAAATAGTAGTACCGCATCGTCTCCTTCACCACTCTATCCAGGTAGTCCATAGACGCGACGTCTTGAGGCGTGATAATACGGTCCGATCCCTGGAAGATAGCGTCCAGTTCTTCGTGCACTTTGGCTTGGATCTCTGGTTCGTTGCCCAACGCGAACAAAGTGAAACCAGTGGTGATCGAGCTGGTATCTTGGCCCTAGAAATTACGAGACATTTGATCCACTGTCCTCACTTACGATTCGTTTCCCTTACCGCGAACATGAAGGTATTTACTTCTTCGATGATTTCTTCGTCCGTGAAGCGCTTTTGGTCCTGCGTAGTGAGCAGGAGGTCGATGAAAGCCTGTCGTTCTTTTCTGCCGAATTCGTCGACTCTGATGGTGCTCTTGGTCTCTTCGAATTGCGCCCTCTTCTCGGAAATGATCTGAAACACTTGTTAAATTGCATAATCCTTCTATAACCAAACGTTTACCTTAAGCGTAATCCCATTCACGTAGTTTAAGGCCTCGAAGAACCTTTTACCAGGTTCGGTGAACTTGAAAAGAAAATCGTTGGCCCAAATGGGATTCGTGTACCTTCTGGAAGCAATCTCGCACAACCTAAAAGAAAATCAGGACCAGCATATTTGATAATCCAACTACCAATGCTCAGACCCACCTCGCAATGGCGTCCAGGTACTTGGAGTTCGGGTCTTTCATCGCGTTTACCTTCTTCCCCATGGAGGTCTCCGCGATGATGTCCAGCGCGCACTTGGTGACGTAGGGGTTAACGTCGAAGTACCCCTTGCCTACCTTGTCCTCCAGTATGTGCACCAAGTCGTCGGCCCTTTCGGCAAAGATTTCCGCGAACTTGTCCAAGATGCTGAAGTGGAAAGCGGGAGTGATCAGTTTCCGGTGGGTCCTCCACTTGTTTCCGCCTCCGAGCAAAAGTCCCGTGCCCAGCCAAGGCGCGAAATAGCGGTACCTCATGTCTTTATCGATATTGACGTTGCTTTTCAGGAGCAACTGAAACGAATTCCGAATAAACTCGGCTCGGCCAAACTCGATCGATGTCTCACTTCGGCGTGTTCGGCCTTACAGATGTGCACAATGGGTTCCCCTTGCAGCCAATTTCGAAATATCGGACCGTACTTTTTGTGCCTGGACGTCATGAAGTCGAATATGTCTGGAAAATGCGCAACTTTGTATTGTTTCACGCGATAAAATGGATTCACCGATAAAAACCGAACGAAATTGAGGGAATTTGGGTGAGCACTTTATTATAGCCCTGTACCTTTTCTCAAGAACTACTGATTTAAAAAAAAGTATATACAAAAGTTTAACGGTTTAAATTCAATTTTAAAATTATTTATTTTTTATATATACAGGGTATCCGATAAGTGTTGGACTGACTTTAGTTTCAAAATTTTAAATGTATATTTTGATATTTTTAGAATCGTTGCCAAAAATAAAGGTAACTTTTATAGAAACAACTTATTCGAATTTTGTGTAGTTTAGACAGATATTGAGATTATATATTGTTTTTTATGCAAAATTATGTTCTTAGTAAATATGGTCTTCCACCTCTGGCAGTAATGACTACTTAAGCGAATCCTAAACACATTTTTAGAAGACTTCCCTCTAACGATCTGCAATGAGTAGGTATTTTCGAAATTATACAGGGTGTCTTAAATTAAAAGATTTTCTTTTTGAATTTGTCCTGTACCTAAATTTAATGGTTTTCGAAATACTGACACTTACAATTTTAAAGAAGTTGAAAAAATGCATATTCTCATTTTTTAATTAATTTTAAGGATTTTCGCAATGGGTGATGGGTCTTTTTTGTAGGTAAGGTAATACAGAGATTTATAGGTTTATACAATGAAAACATCATTATTTATATCGTCAACGATGTAAAATAATACGTATAACTATGATAAAAGCTTAAAAATTTAAAACAAGTAACAGTAACAAGTAAAAGCAACAAACAATAACTGCAACAATTAAAATAAAAACAAAATATAAAATCTACAGTATGTTTTATCCACCATTTTGAATAATGCAACGATGAATAAACAACCTCTATATGTCCTATCCAAAGATTGTAATTTTGTATTTCATTTACTATTGACGGTTGTATACCTTTGATCGGTATATTCCGCACCACACTTTGATATATCTTCTGCCTTGTCGTTTACTTCCAACACCCTTTTCTTATTTTCATCACTCCAGTAATGTGTGTTTTTCCGATTAAAAATTGGGGCTTTTGTATAAAAAATCGTCTAATCGGACCAAATTATATGACGCAAGCAGTGGTGTAATCTTGCGTCATAGTCCCTATAGTCCGGTAAAAACTGAAATGCTTTTCGATTATTTAATTTTAAACAATTTCTGAGTCTAGTTCTTTTAACATCCAACTCTAACGCGGCTTGACGGGTGGAGGATTCTGGTATATTGTCAAAATGTAGTAGTAATCCATCTGCTTCTCCTCTGTTAGAACTTGTCGTGGTCTTTTTTTGCACGTTGACAGAATGCTACCATCTTGCCTAAACTTTGCATAAATTTTCTTCCTTGATACTCTCTAAGAGCCAGCATATCTATTTTTTCTTGCACCGTTCACATTTTTAACTCAAGGAATAATAATATTGCTTGATTAAAATGACATCTGTCAAACTCTGACTCTTACGTCACTTAAAACAATTATAAACACTTATTTGGCTACCACAGCCTACTAGGGTAAAAAGCAAGTTTAAAGAAACCGAAGTTTTCTGCTATTAATGAAAACTTTGTTTACATATGCGAAATCTTAATAAATTGTCCCATCATTTGTTGAAACAATCATTAAAATTAAATTTTTCAAAATAATTAGGCGTGAATACCTAGTCATCGTAGATCGTTAAAATGTGTTTAAAATTTAATCAAGTCACTACTGTTAGCCGTGGAAGACCATATTTACTAAGAACAATTTGCATAAAAACATATATAATCTCAGTTCCTGTCTAAACTACCTTTATTCTAAAAATTCTAAAAATATAAAAATATAGGGGGTGTTCCATTTAAAATTTTAATCGGACACCCTGTATATATAAAAAATAAATAACTTAAACTTTTGTATAAACTTTTTTTTTCTGAAATCAGTACTCCCTGTACCTTCTCTGCTCGTCGCCATGAACGTCAGACCGGTTCCGACGATAGGGTACCATTTTTCTCCCGGATAATAGTCAATGGCTTCGGCGATTTTGCGTTTGCGTCTGTAAACTTCGAGAAAACGCGATCCGAAGATCACCACCGTCACCACGAGTACCGCCAACGCCACTAGATAAGACATAGTATCACCAAAACGCTTTAAACCGTATTACTAATTAGACAAAACTAACGGCATTGGATAATAATGCTAATTATTTATATCGTCTACAATAGTATACTCTTCCCCTACCCATTTCGATCATTATAGAAGCATTAGCAATGATAAACGTGTTCGACTGCCGCATGTAGAGATAAGTACCGTCGAAGTTAATAGTTTCCTATACCCGATCAAGATACACCGCGAGCAAATTACAACCGAAATCATTGAGCGTAAAATTTTCTCTTTCATATTCCCTTACCGAAGCAATTTGAGAAGAAAAAAAGCCGCGAATTTTATTAACCGAATGGGAACTGTAAGTGAATAAAAGTCAAAATCAAAGAAATCAATCTATATTTGATAATAAGCAGATTTTTCATATTAGATAGTTGCGTTTCAGTATTTGCACACTCAAATTTATTCCTAAAGTGCCAAACTATTCTCGGAAGTGACTTCATGCTTGTGATAGTTATACCCTGACTATTCTATGAACCGAAATATATACAAAAGTCTCTAAAATAGGCAAAGAAAAAAATCGAATTCACTGAGCTTCCAACGGTTATTCATACTCCCTGCAGTGAATCAAGCGTATGGGGATTTTCAAGGGGACAGATGGACGACGTACGAGCCTTAAATTGACCAGCAGATAATCCAGACTATGGTTGAGAGTAGATGCTACGTTACACCGTCGAAGGTAGGCGGAAATGATTTAAAAATTCTCAAGATATAATTGAAACCCTTTAATTACATGTTATTAAAAAAAATGTCACAACGGCTATATGCGCAACTCCAGCTCCATATTGATCCCGTTCTGCGGTCTGAGCACCGATTCCAGATAGTACCTCATGTCCTCCGGCTTGTCGCGGCTCCTAACCCTGAACTTCCTCAGTATCGAAGCCAGCATCGTCTTCGCGTTACGTATCCCGAACTTTTGGCCTGGAAAACACCGGTGCAAAGGCGAAAACTCCGATCGCTTACCGACCTATGCAGTTCCTAGGTCCAGCGCTGAAAGGTATGTAGGCATATGGGTGCCTAGCATTACTGGCTTCCGGTAGAAACCGGTCCGGGTCGAATTTTTCCGGATCGGGATAATGTTCCGGGTCGTGGTGCAGATTGTAAAGGTCCATGATGACGGTCACCCCTGCCGGGACGCGTAAGTCGTCCAACACGATGTCCTCCTCGAGAACCCTCGCAATTTCGGGTACGAATGAGTACGCTCTGAGCGTTTCCTTAACCACCCGGTCGAGGTACTCCAAGGAGGCGACGTCTTGAGAGGTTATGGGTCCGTCGGTAACTCCTAGTACAGAATCGAGCTCTTCGTGGACTTTGGCCTGCAACGAATAAAACTAGAGATCACACGAAGACGGTTCCGGAGGAAACCAAGTATACCTGGATCCTAGGGTCATTGCCTAAAGCGAACAACGTCAACGCCGTGGTCGTGGAGCTGGTGTCTTGACCCTGAAACGTCGAGGAAGGCGTAGCGACGACAACCACGTCCACTTAACTCACCGCAAACATGAACGTGTTGATTTCGTGGATGATCTCGCGATCTGTGAATCGATCCTGACCCTGATTGGAGAGCAAGATGTCTATGAACGATTGCTTCTCCTTCCTGCCGAGTTCGTCGACCTTAACGTTTGGTCGCGGACCGTCAATCTCCGCTCTCTTGTCCATGATGATCTGAAACATCGTTCGTTTTAATTCCCTGACCACCCACCATCGGAGGGTATACCTTTTGGGTGAACTCCTCGATGTACTTGACGTTCTTGTAGAACCTCTTGCCGGTCGAGGTGAATTGGAAGAGGAAGTCGTTGGCCCAGATAGGGTTGGCGTACCTCCACGATGCTATTTCGCACACGCTACAAAGCGACAGAGGCAGTACGACCGACAGTACTTCGTCGCCGAACTCACCTCACTATGGCGTCGACGTACTGGGACTCTGGATCCTTCATTGCGTTTATTTTCCTTCCCATGGAGGTTTCCGCGATTATGTCCAATGCGCACTTGGTGACGTAGGGGTTAACATCGAAGTACCCTTTGCCGACTTTAGACTCCAGGATGCGCACCAGGTCGTCCGCGCGCTCGACGAAAGTCTCCGCGAATTTGTCCAAGATGCTGAAGTGGAAAGCCGGCGTGATCAGTTTCCGGTGCGTCTTCCACTTCTTGCCGCCCCCGGTCAGCAGACCCTGACCGAGCCACGGCTCGAAGTACGCGTAAGCCTGCCCCTTGTTGATGTTTACGGAACTCTTGAGCAGAACCTCGATATGCTCCGCCTTGCAGATGTGGATAACCGGCTCCTGGAGCAACCAACTCCTGTAGACGGGTCCGTAGACGTCGTGCCTGCTTATGACGTGGCGGAACAGGTCTGGAAAACGAGCTCTCCTGATTCACATGTTGCACACAAGAATTTTTTGCTATGGGTATTTAATGGTTCATCAGGGAGGGTAGTTTTGCAGTATTTTTCTGAATACAGAGATCATTTTCAGAACCCTAACCACAATGAGCCTGTTGTAGTATGAACTTGAGACAGTTTTCAGCATTCAAATGGGAATACGCATGAATCAGATTGTGGATCACAGCTTTCGGATACTTGACTGCCCTTGCAAGTTAACTAATTCGAAATAAATAAGAACTAAAAGTTCAGATTTTCACGAAATTATATATTTTGACATGACAATTGTTTCGCCAAAATCGTGTCTTTATCAAATGTTATATTTACAAATTACTTGTTACTATATATATATCGAAAAATGACCGTAAAACCTTAATTAATGTTGTTGTGAGAATTTAAGTTCAATAAAGGAGAGGTATTTAAATCTACTTGTTCGTTAAGCAATACATTTGAATCTCTCATTTTTCTAATCTCCATGGCTTCCAATAAATTTAATTTTCTACTTTTTGTGGCTGTATGTAAAATATCAAAATTGTCGTCAAAAATGTGTTTTTCTGTGTTTAAGTGTGTGACATAATTAGAATCTAGACTATTGTTTTTTAACGCTCCTTTATGTTCGTTAATGCGTTTCTTGTTTATGTAATTTACATATATTGTGTCTTATGTAACAGTGTCTTATGTAAAAGCCACCTCAGTTCAATTTTTAACTAATTCGATTGGAATCAGCGCAATACTGAGACTTTTACAATTTTGGGCCTCGCAGGAAGGATTTTTTTCCACGTCCTGCGTAGTGATTTACTGGTTGATGATGATAGCATATTGATGACGTCGACGTTGATCTTGATAAGTTTTTGAAGTGTTTCTGGTTAAAATAGCAACGACCTTGGTTTGACCCTGGCGTTGTTTACGTCGTCCCGTGTGCGGAGCGCGGGGGAGGAGACGATGGCGTGGTGCTTACCTTCTCGCGAAGTCTTCAGGAGCGGCAAAGTGGTACCGAGGATCGGGTACCACGGGGCCCCGGGAAGTTTGTCGATAACCTCGGCGATTTTACGGCGTTTCTTATAAGCAGCGAAGATTCGCGGCCCGAAAATGGCAGCGGCCACCGCTATGATCGCCAAAGCGATCAAGTACGCCATTTTATACGTTTATCCGTATTTGTTTGTTCGATGCAATACCTTATCGCGCGAAAGAGAGCACTTTATCTTAGTTCACGATATTACTGCTCGCGTCTCAGTACCAGCGATTGCATCTATTAAAATAAATCAGATGCGTTCCGTCCTTCTACGGTGGACTTTGGACTCGCGTGGATCGAATTAAATCGCGTACTCCCGTGGTAATTCATAATGTAAATCGAGAGGTTGCAATAACGATGCATTTCTCGGTCTGCGAAAACAACTCGAACCGGTTTGAACTTGGTCTGCGACGTCTATCGATCGCCGCCCGAATTTTCCGCGGATTCAGCCCGTTATTCGACTACCCGTCGATAGATGGCGACGTAGGAGAGCCAAACCAGTTTCTCGTTAACAAGGCGACGTTCGGCTGTCAGCACACAGATGGCGCGGACGTGCGAGATTTCCCGTTTTCGAAATTCAAAAAAACAAAAAAATGATGACGACGGCCCCGGCGCGTGGGATTGATACACCCCTGGTTAAATTAATAGTCCTCGCGGTGCGTCCATTAATTTAATGGACGGACGGCGTCCATTAGCGGATGGGGCGGCACTTTTCGCGGAATCGGGCGAGTCTTTTGTCTTTCTGGAGTGCCCGAAGCCGCCTGATGGATCGTGTGTGGTTGAAATAGATGCAAATAAGATCTAGCTAAATAGGATCGCGTGTTTTTGTTTTACCTAAGGCCGGTAACCAACCAAATTGTCGACTTTGACGGCGGACGTTCCAAAACAGAAACTTACTTTAGACGTAGGTAAATTGAATGATACGCGATTTAAAAGATTGCTAATCGGCTGTTCACACTGTTGAAAAACTGCTGCCGAAACTGGAAAGGCCATCATTAAATATAATGGATATTGCTCCATATCATTCTAGAGTTAGTGAAAGTGCACCAGATGCATCGACAAGAATAGAAGAAATTATCAATTGACTGCGTAGTAAGCGGATTAATTAACCAGAAAATGGTCTAGATTATGAGCATCAAGTTTTAAGATATTTTTTATTAAAACTATTGAGGCAAGGCATGATACTGCAATAGTATCTGTTGCGAAGGAAGCTATCCAGGCAGTTACCAAAGAAAATACATTTAGATTTACCTACGTAAATATTCGCACATACTTCAATTATGGAAGTTACCACTCGATGGTAATAAAACTTGGATCCGGTAGGTATTAAAGCAGAGAACATCAGTCAGTTTTTTTTTTGTTTATTTAGGTGGAATAGCAGCAAAGTAAGCTCAATTTAATAGACAAAAACCAAAGAATTACTAAAAACTAACACAATTCAAGTTACAATATAAGGCGATTCAAAGTAAGAATCAAGAAATAAACAAGATTCAAAAAACGGAAAAGCATCAGTGCCTGGAAACATTCCTATTGAACTAGTGAAAAATGGACCAGTGATCCTACATGAAACAATAACTAACCTATTTAATAAATGCTTAATAAATGGGGAGACACAATCCGGGAAGATTAGAATATGCCATATATTTTAATAAATAGCCTAACGAGACTTTCGCGGAAGGAATTTTGCTTCACCCTGTATCATTTAAAACTCACAAACAGGTTCATGTTTTGCGAGCACTTAGCATAACAGACCTTAAAGAGTTGACTTGCGAGGTAACATGCGGTTAAGGTACTGTAAAATACTTCAATAAATGCACTATACTTTTAAAATTAAAATCCTACAGGAATTTTAGATTCTCATTAGAAAAACACCCTGTGTAAAAGCACTTGGCGCGGATCTGCGGATTTCCAGTACACAGTCGCGCGGGACGTCGCCGAGGTGGCGGCAACGTCGCGCCGCCCGTCGGCGCAAAACGACGCGCTTATAATCAATATTTACAGTCTGACAGGAGAGTCCGAAATATCGCCCGCCGCCGCCCCCCGCCGCCGCTGCCGTCATCAGACGAGACGCGGATTGAAAATCAATCGGCAGTTTCGCGCCCGTACAAGACGACGACGTTTCGACGCTTTCCCCGACGCCGCCGCCGCGCCACAAAACCGACAGAAACTGAAAACCCCCCCCCCGGCGGCCATGTAACCTCAAAAAAATCGACGGCGTTCGTTTTTTTGCGCTCGAGGGGGGGCGGGGTGATGTGGTTCGCGGTCCGAGTGCGAGGTTTCGCGGGGGCAGTGCCGCCGCCTCCCGCGATGGATTGAGCCCGATCGGCAGCACTCGCCGCGGGATCCTTAAGGTCAGTTTTTTAGGTTAATATGCGCTCGTTATTATGGCAATGCTGATCAACCGGGGTCGGTACCGTCCCTGACGTCATATGACGGCGTTTTCGGGCCAGTTTCCACCATTTATTACCCCCAAGCCCCCGTCGAGACGGGTTTGCGTAACGCATTAGCAAACAAAAGACGATCGGACGACGAAAACAACGGAGCTGTCATGCACGGTGAGCGCGGTTGCCGCTACTTTGACGACGGGGAAAAACACTTTCTGGTATCCCCAGTAAAAGGCACGAAAAATTAACCATAACTTCTGGTGCAGAACGACCAAACCATCGGTATAGTTTGTACGGAAACACGTAGGTTATTAGAAAACCAGTTGAACTAGTTTTTTTTATTCCACGAACACAATATTTGTTCTGTGGTGATTGATTTGTTTGCAGCGTTGCCAGAATGTACTTTTTATTTCTTAACCATAGCACACACACAATAGATAGGATGGTGCGCCGTTGAGTAGAATAATAAATGCGTTTTTATGGCGAATTGTTGGCATCTAAACTGAAACTCGCACTCGATACAGCACCGAACGGTGCAAGAGATTTTGAGGAGTTAAATGGTGGAAAATGTGGCGAGATTTATATGTCATAAATTTAAAAGATCCCTATTTGGAAGGGTTTGAAACAGAAATAGACCATTTAAGTGAAGGTGGCTTGTCCAAACCTTCTTCAACATTTATGAGCAGTATTGAAGAACTAAACAAGTATATTGAAAAATAATAAATAATAAACATTCTTCTGCGTTGCTATTCAGTGTATTTATAGTCTGTGTCTATTTGCATCTAGTATCTTATGTTATTTATAGTTGATAACATTAAAATAAATAAGAGCTAAAAGTTCAGATTTTCACGAAATTATATATTTTTATTAGACAGTTGTTTCGACAACACCGTGTCTTTATCAAATGTCCTTTGATGACAACAGAACATAACTGGTGCAGATTGTGAAAATCGGTGGAAACATTTGGATAGGATGTACAAAAAGTATATAAACAATAATAATAAAACCAATCTAGGGAGAAGAGACTTTGAATATGCAGTAAAAAAAGGAATATACACCGCGTAATATTGCTATCTTCAGAGACAACCAGTGGAGAAAAAAAAGCTCATTTAGTTAGCACAAATATGGAAAAGGACAGGGAAATTACACTGATAACAAATATCACTGAGACTGATAAGACCAAAGATATAGGAGTAGCAAATGTCAGGAAAGAGTTATTGCAAGAGTAAAAAGTTAAGGTCGGAAGTTCTACATGAAAGAGACGTGATAGAAAAGATTTTTATAAAAAACTTTGGAAATAAAAGAAAAAATAATGTTTTATAGGAAAGGAACTCTATACTCTATATTCTATACAACGCATGCTTAAAGAACTGCCATTATTACATATAGGAGACTTATAATAAAATTCCAATCTTTTGTCATACAACTACTTATTTTGGTATTTTGTTAAAAACCTTCGCAGAGCTTAGTTTTTTTTCGTTTAATTTTAGGTTGTTTGTTTTTTCTTTCCGACATGTATTTTTTTTTGTTTCGAGTATACATTTATTTGAATAAAAGCAAAAAGAATCACAAATACGTTTATGTATTACTTGTTAAATAATAATTGGGTTTAATAGGGTTTTTTTTTCGTTCATTTTGATTGGATGACTGTGTTCTACTTCCTGCTGACTCTAAAATGTTTTCTAAACTACTGATCGCTAAACATAGGTTTTCATTTTTTGGTACCTTATAATCCTGATCTAACTCTTTCAAGTCTTCGCCATTCGAACTTAAAATTTATATATTGTTCATGCTAAACAATACAAAAAAGATTTTGTTTTACCTTGTTTCCGTTCTATTCCAAGACTTGCAGTTTGAACGTGTACTTAGCGTCTTTGTTTCCTTTGTAAAGTTACGGACGGCGAGGAAAAACTGCGAAGGACGGCAACGCCGCGCCGGCTCGGACGACGAAATCGCCGAACCATCGTGACGTAAACGGTAGATTGGTCGGGCCTTTAAGTCTAGGAACGCGCGGGCCTGCGAAGACGCGGTCGCCTTGGGTCGGGCAGCACGCAACCGCGCTGTCTGTAAGTTCGCGCGGCGTTGCCGCCGCTTTCGCTCGGGTCTCGCGATTCTCAAGCCACTCGTTAATTATTTTTGCAACAATTCAAACTTAGATTTTCAAAAATAACTTCCGTTGCTGTAGTTTACCAAAACGTAATTTAAAAGTGTGAAATATCATTGTATTACAAAAATAATAGAGGCCGAGGTTTGATTTCGCAGTGAGATTTCAAATTGTTACTGAAGCAAACTAAAGAAACATAACTTTTTCACGTCATTTACGCCGCAGACCCTTCCCGCCTCGCTTCCAGATCGCTTAACGTTTATGCGGTACGATACGCGCGGGGAATTCGGGGTAAACGTGGCAACGCGGCCGTTCCGCTCATTTCCTGTCGACGAGGCGGCCGTGTGCACCGAACATTCGATTCCGTCAACGGTCGTGTAGGGTGCGTGACGACGAGCCGTAGTATCCGCGAAATTTTCGGTCGCTTATCATCGCGAAACAATGTCGTCGGCAACCGGCGTCGCAGGATCGGTGTGATTCGTGTCCTCGGACGATTGGTTTTGGTGATTATTTTTGTTGAGTGTCTTAGGTTCGAATCGCCGCATGGCCCGCCAATGAGGAGGATAAGCGGTAAGCCGAGACGCGATTTTGATTATCCAAGCGAATAACGGGTTATAACCTTATCGTTTGTTTGTTTTGTTGGGCGCGATAAAACCGGCTACGTTTTGGTTTTCTGTTATCGGTCGACGGTTGAATATGGCTGACCCCGCGTCTTTTTTGGGGGGTTATAAGTCCGCGGATTTTAATCTCGGGCGGCCATGACGTTCCCGTTTTGACATTTGACAAATTTTACCGTGGAAAACAAAAGCTAGTAACGGGTTGCTCTTTTATACAGTATGTCCCACTTAAGAAGTGTACGCCCT